ATATTTTACAGCTGACATTGAAGGCTGCAGATCTTTGACAGCTCCAATGCAGATTAGCTATTGTTGCTGTGATTAGTAAAATTAAAAGAATGTATGCAGTTCATAAACCCTAAATAATAATTAACACGTGTGCCCAGCAATCATGCATTAGCACTTCTATTTATATTTCTGACACCTACGTATGTCTTATAAAGCAAACTGAAGTGCTAACGTATGATATTTAATGCTAATTTGTGCTCTTTTCATATCCTTTGGTAGACCTGAACCCTGAAATGTTCAAACAGTGCACACTGACAGCCTAACTGTGACTTCTGTACTAAGATCCTATTTTAGTACCAAAAAAAACATTGTTTAGTCCACATGGTGAACTTTGTTCCTCACCAAATGCTAAATATAAAAGAACAGAATAGAGTATACATGTATATAAAACATTACTTGCCTGGCACTTGTCCCTGCAATGTTCATTACATAACCCCACCAAACAAATTTTTTAATAGCTGCCTTCTAATATTGCTAAATACAAGGAGGAACCCCTTATATACCTATCACTGCATTGTAACATTTCTAAGACTGATTATTTTGTCAAATGCTGGCCCCACTTTTTATCTTTATACAATTAATGGAATTCGTTACTGCAGAGAATCTGTTTAACACTACAGTATACAATTTGAACTGTAGAATATATAATGTGTTTATAACTAACCACTGTTTAAGTGATTCCCACGTGAAATACAGTGACATTTTGACTAAATATAATTTCTTAATGTGGCACTTCTTAGGATAAAATTTAGAATCTTGCCCCCTCACAAATTTCAACTTTTTAATAACAAAAAAATGAACATATTGTATTTCACAAATAAATGATTATCTCTTCTCTCACAACCCACAGATTGAATTATATTTTGTGCATTATAAGTAATTGAACCCTTTTATCACTCTCTACCATAGGCTGGCTGGGGGAGGACATAACAGTTACTATGTAGTTGTGCGAAAATCCTCACCAGACAGTTGAGTAATTAGCCAAAGCAACATCTGTGAATAACTTTCAAAACAAATTCTCCTTGTGGCCCTGGTAGAGAGTGCCCTTTATAATAATAATAATAATTATTATTATTATTTATTCAGCTAATGTATATGTATGTAAAATGTACATCTGAAACTGTTTTTGTTTTTGTTTTTTACATTAGCTGAATAAACATTTACCTCAAATTACCATGAACCCAGCATGATACAACAATCTAACAGACAGGAGTGTCCAATAGATTGAAGGAAGTCTGGCTAAGTGAAAAGCTTGTTTTATCTACATATATTGAATCTACTTTAAATTTTGTAGATATGAGAAAGGCATTCCAATCCAACCATTTCTCTCATCACTGAACCACAAGTGACAGCACTTCTTACATTTTGGTACCAAGATATAAGACAGTTCTTATAATATTAATAAGTACAATCATGTCTTATATGCTCGGTTTTCTTATGACCTGGCTGTAAATAATTGGATTGTGCTAAAATGATAAAGATAAAAGCTTCAGTTGGTGAAGCATTTACTTCTCCTCATGGATCTCGTCATGCTCAGGGATACTGTACAGGATGCTACTGCTGCTGTCTGCATTGCTGTTGTTGTTTGCATTTATGTTCCTGTCTCCATTACTGTTCTTGACTGCTGTGCTGTTATTTTCACTTGGTCCCTTGTAATGGTCCCTGCAGAAGTCTTTTATTCTCTGGCATGCTGTCACCATCTGTTCCTCTGGGACTGATAACACAACTCGGAAGTAGTTTGGATATTGGAAACACTGATTCAGAAAAGCAAACAGAAATACTTTTAATGCAGTTTGATCATAATTTCATTAAATAAAATAACAAAGTGATTGACAGCACTGAAAATTATGCATCTGTAGATACTTTAAGGTCTATAAACCACTTTTTTTCCTGCCAATGGAATAATATTTCAGTGCAACAACAGACCTTTTTAACTGTAAAAGCATAAATCCTATGACTGAGCCCCTGCATGTATTTACAACAAATTTAACTCCAAATGAAATTCAGATTACCCATAATAAATGTAAAAAACTGCACTGCAACTCTTTTTATTATCAGTAAGTTTTGATTTGTTCTGTTTCTTTCATAATAATGTATCACCACAAACCAACAATTCTTGAAAAAAGTATTTCAACATTTAAATTGTTTTCTGAGTCATTTACTACTATCCAATTCCAGGCAGGTGGTTTGAGATTCAGAGATTACTTTGATTTAAAAAAAAAATTAAATATAAATCAAAATCATCATTTCATTTGTTTTTTCTTACCTTTCCTGGCAAACAGAAAACTGACTGTTCTGTGACCATCATTTCAGCAAATGCCATATCATCAGTTATACCTGGGAAGTGCTCAATATCTATACCAATCTGGAAAAACATCGAAACAACCTCAGCGTTAGATCATACAGGATGTGATTCATTTTGATATTGTGAATACTGAACTAAAGAGCATTTCAAATTGTACAAAACTGGCAAATATAAAATACAATATATCAATATGCAGTCTTACCATCATGTACATGGCTCCACTTGGTTTGATGGGATTCAACCCAGGCACAGCTGACAGATGGTTGTAACACACCTCAGCATTGGCCTGGAAAAGATACAAACTATCAATTACTACTGCAATAATAAATATCTAAAAAA